CGGGATGCTGCCACCTCCGGGCCAGGGAAAGGTGCCAGGCCCAGGATGCCCGACATGAGGTTGAAGAGTGACTCCGGGTCGTGCGGGTGTTCGGGCACTGCCTGGATGAAGAAGCTACCGCTGTAGCTGAGGCTGGGAGGGGGTGTGGGCGCAGGCCCCTCCAGGAAGCAGGAGTCGGCTAAATCCCCCCCGGCGCTGCAGCTGCTCAAAGCCCAGCTCAAGAAGTCGCCTGCTGAGGAAGGAGCAGGAATCAACTCCAGGCACGGGAAAGGGCGCGCCTCGGGCCGCGGCCCCTACCCAAGGATCCCTTGGTGCCCCCCGATACACCTAGAGTGCCTTTTTGCACATTCTAACCCATTTGGAGCAGCCATACGCTCCAAGACGCACACAGAAACATGCACATCCAAAATACACGTGCACAGGCAAAAAGGACACCTTGATACACGCACAATTTCCTGCGGAGGCGCTGACGGCCCGGTGGGGTGGCAATGGCGGAGCGCACCCCAAGACCCCCGAGCTTCCTACGACCGCTACCCCCACACCTCCTGCATCCCAATCCCAGCCTGTCTCAGGCACCGTGCGCCCCCGCACTGCGCCGCCGTCTGAGCACCCCCAGCCGCGCTTCTTACCTCCAGGGTAGCCAGCGGCCGCGTCCCTGACGGGCAGCCGGGGCAATTCGGTGCTGGATTCCGAGCAACAGCCCTCGTCGGCGGACTTGACCAGAAGCGTGTCGGGGCCAGAAAACTCGCTAAGGTGGAGCATGGCGCGGCGGCTGCTGCGGAGGACCGGGGCCTCGCCCGCTGAGCTTGGGGGCGCGCGGATGGCGGGGAGGCAGGCAGTCGGGGCGCCCCGCGCCTCGCAGACCCAGGTGCCCGGGCTCCTGGCTCCCGGCGCTCACCTCTGGAAAAGGGGTCGGGAGACCGTGGCGCCTTTGCTCGTTGGGACCGGGCTCGAGCGGCTGCTCCTCGCCTCTTCAAGCGCAACCGGGCTCCCCCAACCCGCGGCCCCCCCACTTATATAGCAGCGGCGGCGCTGGGCACAGGGCTTCCGACTTCCGGGGCCACTGCCATTTCGGAGGCTCCGGCCCTGCCGCCGTGACGTTAATGCCCAAACATGGAACAAGGATTGTTTGCTGGGACTCCCGAAAAGGGAAAGCTCGCTG